GGTATTAGCTACTACTCCTAATTTGGTGTCATCTGCAAACTTGAGAAGCATGCCCACTGTTCCTTCATCCAAATCATTGATAAAGATGCTGAATAGGAAACTGGGCCCAGGACAGAACCCCACTGGACACCCCAATGGTCACTTCTCTCCAGGAGGAAGAATCATAGAATCATAGAATCATAGAATCATAGAATCATAGAGTTGGAAGAGACCACAAGGGCCATCCAGACCAACCCCCTGCCATGCAGGAACTCCCAATCAAAGCATCCCCAACAGATGACCATCGAGCCTCTGCTTAAAGACCTCCAAGGAAGGAGAGGACCCTTTGGGTTCAGTCAGTCAACCAGTTCCTAATCCACCTAACAGTTGCATTGTCTAGCCCACATTTTACTATCTTCTTTGCCAGAATATCGTGGGGGACCTTGTCAAAAGCCTTACTGAAATCAAGATATACTATATCCACAGCATTCCCTTCATCTACCAAGCTGGTAATTCTATCAAAAAAAAAAAAAGATCATATTAATCTGGCATGACTTGTTTTTGAGAAACCCATGTTGACTTTTAGTGAGGGTTAGGGTTCCCTTCTAAATGTTCCCTTCTAAATGTTCACAGACTCTCTGTTTAATGAACTGTTCTAGAATCTTTTCTGGTATTGATGTCAGACTAACTGGATGATAATTGTTGGGATCCTCTTTTTTTCCCTTTTGGAAGATGGGGACAACATTTGCCCTCCTCCAGTCTTCTGGGACTTCTCCTGTTCTCCAGGAGTTCTCAAAGATTATTGCCAGTGGCTCTGAGATTACATTTGCCAGTTCTTTTAATATCCTTGGATGTAGTTCATCTGGTCCTGGAGACTTCAATTCATTTAGGCTAACCAGGTATTCCTGTACTATCTCTTTACTTATTTTGTGCTGCATTTCCTCTATTGTGTCCTCTGCTCCCTTTTCCTCAGATTGAACACCCTTTTCCTTTTGTGAGAAGACTGAGGCAAAGAAAGTGTTGAGTAATTCTGCCTTTTCTCTGTCCCCTGTTAGAATTTCTCCATCTTCTCTGCGCAGTGGCCTTACCATTTCCTCCTTCTTCCTTTTGCTACAGACATACCCAAAAAAGCCTTTTTTATTGTTCTTAACCTCTCTAGCAAGCCTGAGTTTATTCTGCACTTTGGATTTTCTGACTTTTTCTTTGAATTCCTCTTTGGTGATTTCGCCCCTTTTCCATTTCTTATACATCTCCCGTTTAAAACTTATTTCAGTTGAAAGTTCTTTTGTCATCCAACCCATTTTTCCTTCTCATAGGAACAGTTTGAGATTATGCCTTCAGTATCTCCCTTCTGAGAAACTCCCATCCATCCTGAACTCCCTTCTCCTTTAGTATGCCTGACCATGGGATCACTCCCACTGTTTCCCTAAGTTTGTTGAAATCAACTCCCCCAAAGTCTAGAATGCGTGTCTGACTATGCCTAGCTTCTTCTTTCCACTGTATAAGAAACTCCAGGAGAACATGATCACTCCCAGCTAAGGGTCCCACCACTTGCACCCCACTGATGAGCGGCTGATCTATCATTTCCAAACCCTGTCCTCCAGGAATTGTTGGAGATTATCTGACCTACCTGGCTCTCCTGTATTGCTGAACTCTGTGCTTGACCTGGCCTGTGTTGGTTGACTCTGGATACAGTTACTTGACTTGGACTTTGCTGAACTCTGTTTGGGAAGTAAGTGCTGAACTGTAAGCTGCACTGTGACTGTGTTTGTTCATTAGCTGCTGGCTATTTGTGGTGTAGCAATCAGCTTTGGCTGCTTGCTGGGACAGTGTTTGGGACAACATCGCCCATTGGGCTGAACTTAATTCCTAATGCTTCCAGCGGTCTGGACCATTGTTTTTGGTACAACACCCTTTTGACCATTCTGAGTGAAGCAGATGTCTCTGGGAGCTGTAGTCCAAAAAAGGAACTTTTCTAAAATCTGGCCCTAATATGAAGCAGTTCTCCTTGTAAAGGGGTGAGGGGCTGAAGGAAACCACTTACAGTTGGCCCTCTGTTTCTACAGATTCAGCCCCCCATGACTTGAAAATATTGCTCCCCCCCAAAAAAAATTCCAAAAAGCAGAACTTGATTTTGCCATTTTATATAAGGGATACCATTTTACTACATTATTCTGTGCCCTCAAGTTCTGACTTTATTCTGACTTATGGAGACCCTAAGGCAAACCTACCATGGGTTTTTCTTGACAAGAGCTGTTCAGAGGAGGGTTGCCACTTCCTTCCCCTGAGGCTGAGAGAGTGTGACTTGCCTAAGGTTACCCAGTGGTCCTCCATGGCTGAGCTGGGATTCAAACCCTGGTTTCCAGAATCATAGTCCGACATTCAAACCATTACACCATACTGGCTCTGGGACACCATTTTACGATTGTATGTAATGGGACTTGAGCATCCATAGATTTTGGTATCCATGGGAGGTCCTGGAACCAAAACCCAGCAGAACATGAGGGCCCCCACTGTAGTAGTAGTAGTTATAGTAGTAGTAGTAGTAGTAGTAGTAGTAGTAGTAGTAATACCCCATTGTATATAATGAGACTGGAGCATCTACACATTTTGGTGTCCATGGGGAATCCTGGAACCAAACCCCCATAAGAAAAGAAGAAGAAAGCCATATAGACAAGGTCACATTGAATCCCTCCTAAACTGGTGGTGTGCCATTTAAATCTCTTCCTCTCCTCCACTGCCAGTGGACATCTTGCTCCGAGGGGCTGTTCGCCATTTCTGAACATGAAATCATTCTTTCTGACATTTGCCTAATCGCCTTTTCGCTCTCTCCTCTTTTTTCCTTCTTCCCAATAGTACAGAGAGGAACAATGCAAAAATCTCCACTGCTTTTCAGAGCTATTGTGTTCCTAATCTGCCGGCATTACGGCATTAATGCCATGGGATAATAATAATAATAATTACACCTTGTACAGAGCCCCCTCCCCTTCCAAGAGTCTGTTAGTGCTTAATCTCAGCTGTGATGTTCTCCAGAAGGTGGTCCAGACAACCCAGAGGTATTATTAGGCAGGTGTTAGGACACAGTCCAGGACTAACCTGAGCAAAATGTGGGTCTTTTGCATTCTGTGTTTTGGAGAGAAAGACAGCCCAGCCTACTGTGTGTCTCATGCCATAGGAAAGACTATCAAAGTGATGGGGCAACAAAGGGAAATGGGGACAACCAAGCAATGAGCCTAGTCTCTTTCGTAAAGAATTTTAGCACTTCGCCACCAATCAAAGTTGTGTCCTGTTGGCACTAAGGACATTATCACACATGGCACAGAAACTGAAAATAAAATGGAAATGAGGCATCCCAAAAATAAACGGGAAATAAACCTTGTTTCCGCAAACATCATTACCTTCATTGCGAATTTACAGTAAGTGCATTGAACATCCACACACAAGAGAAAAAAAAAACCGTAAATGTTCTAGAAATGAGCTTCTTGCACATGCGCAGATAGAGGAATGCTCGCTGGAACCATGGCAACAGCAGGGAAATGCTCCCCAACGCGTATTTGGCGATCACATTACGGTAAATGCGTAAATACCGTAATTACGTATTTGCATTTCCTCCAGACAACTGGATTTCAAAAGATCTCGGTTAACACCAGTTTCTGTCCACTTTCTGTCCACTTTCTGTGCAACGTCGTGTGAAAACACGGGGCACTAATCCAGTTTCGGTCTGGATTTTGTGTGGATTAACCAGCAGATTTGCCCCCATGTGATAACATCCTAATGTTCTGTCCATGAGAACAGATGTCATTTTGAGGAGGGAGCAAGCTTGTTTTCTGCTGCTCCAGAGAGTAAGGGCCTTTGCATACTGGCAGAAATAGTGCAAACTGAGTCCACTTTAACTGCCCTGACTCAGTGCTAAGGAATCATGGGAACTGTATTTTATTGTGGCACCAGAGCTCTCTGACAGAGAAGGCTCAATGTCTCAGAAAGGAAAAAAACAATTCCTATGATTCCCTAGCATTAACCCTAACCCTTAAAGTGGACTCAATTTCCACTATTTCTAGCAGTCTGCAAAGGCCCTAAGGCACGGAGCAATGGATGTAAACTACAGGAAAAGGGATTCCACCTAAACTTTAGGAAGAACTTCCTGACAGTGAGAGCTGTTTGACTGTGGGAGACTCTGCCTTTGAGAGTGATGGAGTCTCCTTCTTTGGATATTTTTAAGCAGAGATTGGATGGCCATCTGTTGGGGATGCTTTGATTGAGAGTTCCTGCATGGCAGAATGGGGTTGGACTGGATGGCCCTTGGGGTCTCTTCCAACTCTAGGATTCTATGATTCTAGAATGCAAAATGTCTTTGGACATGGGAATTTTTAATCATTCATTTGTTTAACATTTATATTCATATTATCACTTATTTATATAATGCTATCCAGTGTTTGATTCCTGCATGGCCATGAAACCCACTCTCAGCCTCAGGGGAAGGCAATGGCCAATCTCCTCTGAAGAAATCTGGCCAAGAAAACCCATGATAGAGTCACCTTAGGGTTGCCATAAGTTGGAAACTACTTGAAGGGACACACCATTCACACACAATGCATGCATCTAGTACTTCTGCCTGCCTTCCAGTGTGAGGTTCAAGGTAGTTTGCAAGACAGATTAAAGCAAACTACAAACAAGATAAATGCTAATAATTATTTTTTAAGAAAAACCTATCAGATTAAAATGGCACTGAGTTTTTAAAAGTTTAAATGTTTCTTTTTAAAAGTTTCTTTGCTATTTAACAATAGTAAATAAAGAGAACAGCGGAATCATAGGATCATAGAGTTGGAAGGGACCCCAAGGGCCATCCAGTCCAACCCCATTTTGCCATGCAGGAAGATACCATCCAAGCCCTCCTGAGAGATGACCATTCAGCCTCTCTTTGAAAACCTCCAAAGAAGGAGACTCCATCACTCTCCAAGGTAGAAGCATCTTCTTCGGTCAAACAGATCTTACTCTCAGGAAGTTCTTCCTAATGTTTAGGTGGGATCTCTTTTCCTGCAGCTTGAGTCCATTGCTCAACTAAGGATGTGTCTATCCTGTAGAAATAATGCAAGTTGACACCACTTTAGGTACTGTAGCTCCATGCACTTGAGACAAATAGCATCAAGGGAGATACTGGAAAAACTATGACGGATTATTATTATTATTATTATTATTATTATTATTATTAATTACTGGCCTCTCCCCAACTCTTTAAACCATGTAAAATCAATATAATAATAATAATAATAATAATAATAATAATAATAATAATAATATAGTTGTTGTTTGTTGTGTGCCTTCAAGTTGTTTCCAATTTATGGCGATCCTATCATGAGCTTTTCTTGGCAAGATTTGTTCAGAGGAGATTTACCATTGTCTTCACCTGAAGCTGAGAGTGTGTGACTTGCCCAAGGTCACCTGTAGGGTCATAGCTGACCTGGGAATCGAACCCTGGTCCCCAGAGTTGTAGTCCAATACTCAAACCACTATGTCATGCTAGCTACTAATATATAATATAATATAATATAATATAATATAATATAATATAATATAATATAATATAAAATGCCACCTTTTCTTGAGGATCTGTGTATAGAAAAAGATGGTACTTTTGAGCACCTTTTTAGGAGCAAGATCACACAGATATGATACAAGTAATGGTATGGTAAAGAGCCTGCGATGGTAATTTTGGAATCTGTGCAAAAAGTCTGATTGACCATCTGTACAGAACTGGTGGGAACATTTCTGTGAAAAAGTTGTCAAAAATAGTCGAAAACAGTGAAGTAAAATCTTATGGGACTTTAAGATTCAAACTGATAAACAATTAGAACATAATATTCCCAACATAACCGTGGCTGAGAATGTTTGGACTTAGATTTGGCAATCTCAGGTAGGGATGGAAAGAATACTTAAAACCATTTGAAAAAATGGTGAAAAACATGTTTTTTTCAAATGCTGAGAAACTGAGAAAAAGAATCCTAGACTGCTGAGAATCTTCACAGTTCAGGATTTAATTCTGAACAAAATTCACAAGTGGTTATTTTGTGCAAAGAACCGTATTTTCTACAGAGGAACCAGCATTTTATAGGCAGAAAATAATGTTTTTATCCAGGAAGATTATTTTCTATGCAGAAAAAGCTGTTTCCTGTACAGAAAAATGCTGTTTTATGTCCATATGACCCACCTCTGAATTTTGTGCGGAATAAGTCCCATATAGCAAATAGGCTCTGAAAACTGTATGTGTTTTAAAGGTTTTCTCACAATGGGAAGAAAATTGCTAAAGTTATTCATTGATCCCTTCACAGAGGGAAAAAAACCTGAATGAAGAATTAATGAAGAATTACAATATTAATTCCATTTAATATTATAAGCCTCCCTGGTCCCCAGTTTTGGTAAAAGGGTGTGATGTAAATAAATATAATATAAAAACCCCTAATTCTGGGGGACAGCAGAATTAAAGACAAGGGCTAAGCTTCCACTGCAGAAGTAATGCAGTTTGACACCACTTTAACTACCATGGCTCCATGCTATGGAATTCTGGGATTTGTAGTTTTGTGAGATATTTTTGCCTTCTCTGTCAGAGAAGCTCTGGTTCCACTACACATTCCATAGGATGGAAACATAACAGTGAAAGCAGTTTCAAACTGCATTACCTCTGCAGTGCAGACTCGGCCAAAGAGAAGAGAAAGATTATGAAATGGCAAGACCAACACATGGAGATTCATCAACTCTGGGAAAAGAAAAGGACAATGATTCCAGCAGCAAGAGGTGCTTTGGAAGCAATCCCAAATAGGATGACAAAACCTCTTAATGAAATTGCTTTACATGGGGGTCACCATAGTACACTTGTGAAAAGTGACACTATCCAACAAGACGTCACCAATTCCTAGATTTCTGAATAGAATCCAAATCTATTTTGGTCCAAAACTCCAGCCAGCAATTCCTGGTAGACTGAAACCAAGATCATAAATTCATTTATATCCTGGCTTTTACTCCATCATGGGGTCAGTATCTAGTTCTATCCATTCCTAGTCAGTTTAATGGAAAAGTTGTATTTTCCCTCTGGCTCTTCTTCCCTCTCTCTTACACACATTTATGCACAAAACACACACTTCAGGGGGTGTTTTGTTGTTGTTGTTGTTGTTGTTGTTCTTTCACGTGTTTCTGCAGCGAGGCAAAAGCCAGGAGAGCTATTTTTCACACAATGCAATTGTGGTGTGAGCACCCCACGAGCGAGAGTGATCTCTGTGTGTCTCGGCGTGCGTCTTGTCTGCGAGCATTTTAATTAAATTCTTTTCAACAAGCCCAGATCAGAAGGAATCATTAGTCCTTTGTAAACCAGAGGTCCCTGAATTGCATCTTTGAGAAAGCCGAGAGCTGTTCC